CATAGAGTGGTTTCTTCAGCCCAACACTAGAAAGATACTCCTCCGTCGTGTCTTTAAGCAACGAGTATCCCTTACCCTTATAAACGCTAACTGGAAGATCATATACCTGCCATCGAAACAAAAAAAAAGCAGCAGCTTCTGTTATTATCTTATCCCATCTAAAAAAAGGTATTTATATACAAAAGATTGTAAGGTAAGATAAATTCACCGAAGATCCAACTTGAGCTTGACAATCAATCAAATCCTTATAAATTCCAATAATGTCACCCTTCCGAACAACGAAAAAGGCGTCTTTCTCTTTATCCGAATCCGAAACAGAAACAGCGGTTGAAATCTTTGATTTGGCAGTCTTTGATCTTGTAGAATAGCAATGAACACTAGACAGTCCAAGTGCAGTCACACATGAAGGCTTTAAACTGTATTTTGAAGGCATATAGAAGCATCGATTCCATGGAATATGGGAACTGACATAGCTGGACTTCTTAAGCAGCCCCAAGGAAATGTATGAACGCGCACGGTTCATTACAAGGTAGTTTATACAGCACTGAGATTTAAGGAAGAAAAAGGACACAACTTTAGATAACTACAGAGAGACAAGAACAACTGTAGGATTCTATATTGTCACTGAAGAACACTAAAAACAAGAATCACAAGTTTAAGAGTTCGTTAAATTGCCTACTCAAATCACACTTTGGCACAAGACCCACTGTGAAATACTAATTGGGACACTCCAATGGAGCACAAAGATAATATACCAGAGGTGTTTTTTTTAGGAGGGAGCAGCTCGCCGGGGGCTTCTGTTTCTAGTCGGCGTTGTGATTGGAGTTGTTTCCGGTGCCGGAATTGGAAACTAGAGGGCCAATTTTGGTCTTTTTAGAATTTGAAGGAGATTTGAAACGACGTCGTTACCAAACCCTAATTCATCTAACGATGTCGTTTAAGTGAAACATCTATTACTAATAAAAAGAACTCATTTAGGCCTCTCAATATGTCCACGTCAACTATTCTCTAAACACTCTATCTAATGGACACGTCAACAGCTACCAAAAAAAAAAAATTAAACAGAAACGGCAGCCCAACAGAAGCACAAAACAACATTTCTTATTAAAAAGATAAGAGAAGCCCAACGTAATAAAGCCCATACGCTCAACACTTGACATGAAGACTTAATACTGTAATTTCTAAATTACCTGATATTATAATTAACCCATCTAAAACCTAAATTCAGTAACGAAAAAAAAGAAAGAAGAGAGACCCTTCTTCGTCACCATCCTCTAAAACTGTATCGCTTCAGCTTCCTAACAAAACGAAAAAAAAACCATTGTTATCAATTCTCCACTTCCTATCTTCACTCTCCCATACATTCACACCAAATGAAATAAATGGCCACTACCTTCATTAACAAAAAAACCACAGATCACCCATCACACAAAGAAACAAAAAAAACTCCTAACAGTCACTACGACCAAAACATGGCACCAAATAAAGCTCAACAGTCTCCCCAGCCATTCACCTTTCAGATTTTTGATGATATTGATGGAGGTTTCTGTGAGAAACTGAGAAAGAAGTCTTAGTCCGACTAATTCATTATTGGGAAGCCGAGAATTTGAAGAAAGGCGACATATTGATGGGTCTTCAAGGAAATCTACAATGACCTTCCAAAAGAAAATGGTAAACTACTTACCCTAACTTCCAAACAAAGTATATGCAATTCCTTTCTTTTCAAAATGGTTTAGGTAGTAATTCAATGGAATTATACTGCGCTGCTATAGCATCAAATCATCCCATGGTACGTAATTCCAAATAGATAAATTGGGGTGAAGGAGAAAGTAGTTCCGGCGATGCGGTGTTTCGATAGAGCCAAGATATATGTTAGATCCAGAGATGGAGGGAACGGTGT